GTACTCCCAACAACTAACTTGGAGAGCACAATGTTACTATTACTGGTAGCTAATCAATAAACAAACAAACCTCACAGCCAACCGGGGCCTTTCTGCGAGGAGTTTGCATGTTCTGCCCGTGTGAGTTTTTTCCTACTACTCCGGCTTCCTCCCACAGTCCAGAGACATGCGGGTTAGGTTGACTGGCAACTCTAAATTGTCCGTAAGTGTGAATGTGGCTGTCTGACTATGCATTACGGCCTTTGACTGGCGAGTTGTCCAGGCTGTACCCAGCCTCTCACCCGGTGAAGGCTGGGGTTGGCTCCAGCCCCCGCCCCCACGACCATACAGGATGAGCAGTATAGATAATGGATAAGAATCAGGGTGTTTGAATCCAGAGTTTTGTTGTGGAAGTCATTTTTTTTCTGTTGTCTTAATGGTGTGAGTGTATGCACGAGTCAGTACATATGCAGTGACACACATGATATATACAGTGGGTGGGTGCATTAGTTTGTGATTGTGCGGCACATAGCATAGTAGCACGGCATGTGTGCTCCTATGTGCACTGGCATTAAAATGTGTTTATGTGTGTCTGTGTAGCTGAAGGTTTGCATAAGGGGATGAGAGAAACATTGCAGTGCATCATTCTGCTCCACTTGCGGTACAGTAGCAGTCCACGCGTCTGCTCTGCGGGCACGGCACATCTGACAACGGTGGCGCTGCTTTCCGTTCACTTGCGCTGGTGGCGCTGCTCTCAAACACCCACTTTGATGTCTCAGATAACCCCCCCCCCGTCCCACTTCTACTCTCATTAAACTTTTCATTGCTTTTTATTGAACTTCTGATTATCTTGCATTTTCAATTTCATATATTTTTTTCATTGAAATTTAATTCTCTGGCCCTAAGATCTGTATCTGCAGAGGAGACAGATGGGTAAGGAGAAGAAGCAGTGCGATTTCCTTGAGGTGCACACATCTCCACATCACAAAGTCAAAGATGGAATATATGCATTTGTGTCTGTAGAGGTGTGTGTGGGTGGGCGTGCCTGTAAGCTCTGGTGCTGTTGGTGACATTTCTATCTGCACAAGTATGAAGACCTGAGGGCTAAAATGGAGACATGTTTTTTAGGGGTCTTCAAAGAAGGGAGAGACTCTGCAGAGACAGATAAGGATGTTGTTGGGGTGTATGTGTCTGTGCGACTATGCATTACAGGAAGCACGCGCAAGGAAGTGCATGTGCACACAGCCTGCACGCGCAGCACGCACACACACAGGCACACATACCAGTAAATGGGGCAGAAGTGAAATGCTTTGAAGCGCTGGGGTAATCCAGCGTAAACAGCAGAGGCAACACAGACTAGAGCTGGGCTGCTCCACTACTCCTAGCTATACACAAGGGGAACACGAGCACACATGTCTAGTGCATGTGCATTGGACGTACAGTATGTGTACACTCACGCGCAGTAGCACACTTTGTTAGATGATGGAGTTGGGCTGTTAGAAGTATGGAAAGGGGTGTGAGAAGAAGAAAGAATGGATTTTTTTTTTCTTATTTGCTTGACTGAGCTCTGAGAAAGTGCATGTTTTGAAAATGTTTTCATCAGAGAAGCAGCCTTATCTGCCAGTTGTTGTTGGAGTTTGTCTTCCTTGACAGGATGAGTTTGCAGCTAAATCAGGCTTTAAATTCACAGCATGCAATGTTCTGACCCACCATCCATAAATAGAGGGCAAATTAGACATTGTCATTGAGCATCACTGTCTCCTCAATGGCCCCCCATATTGTTTTTCTCTTCCTCTCACATTCCATTTCTTTTTCTGACACTCTTCTCTTTCTGGTTAAATTCTGCACCCACCCCCACCCCGCCCTTCTCATTCTACCTTGCAGACTCCACCACTCAATCAATCCACCCTACAGCATCAAAGCCTCTCCACACCACCAACTTCATCATGAATAAATTGCCAATTTAGTATACATGAAACGAGTCCCTAGATCCCCAAACGAAGTGAGAGAGGAGGAGAGAAGAAGTGTGAGAGAGACAGGAACAGAGCGCGCGAGGGACAGAAAGTCAGAAAGAAAGAAAAAGAGAATTCAATTATTTTTTGTCTCTTAAGAACCCAAACCTCCTGCCCACTCTCCTCACTTGGCAATTAGTGCTGTAGATAATTAACGAGGAGAGGGCAGCATCACGCTACATCCCTAATCATGCACATTTCTATCTGGCAGAGTAAGGGACTGTTTATATAATTTTGTTTCACATTACTAGGGCTAATTATATAATCGATCACACAGCCGTACCAAGGTTGCCATACCCAAGGTGTGCGGTGGAACGTTTTGATTTTAACCTCTCGCAGTGACTTTATTTAAATTAATCATTGTTGAACATATATTTATGTATTTCTGATGTGTGTGCACCTGACTGAGTGTGGGTCAACTTGTATATAGTTCTAAGCCATGCTCTTTGATGTGACATTGCTGACTGGTGCTGACATTTCAGAGGGGAGCGGAAAAAAGCCTACATCAGGAGAAAAAGAACTAGCCCATCTAGGTTGCATGTGTACGTCAATGGAAGAAGAGCAGCGAGAAATAGAGTTCTGCAGGAAATCTCCAGCATGTAGATGAGGAAGGTGGGGTCCTTTGCGCTTCTGAATAGTGATTGTAGTTGACCAGAAACATGCCTAAATGATGTTGGATTTTCCGTTCACAGTGTGAGCCTGTGGCGTCAACACGAACAAATATCAATACAAGCAGACCAACAAGGACGAAAAATGAATTAATACTGAGCCACCAACACAAGCCGGTATTATTTTTAAGGCACTGAGGCCGTGATCAAATGATATGAAGCAGAATATCCATCATACTCAGCTCTCTCTCTCTCTCTCTCTGATACAGCAGCAGAGAGGGCATTTCATTGAATGGAGATGGATAGCGAGTCATTGGGTTCCAGGCAGGCCTGTTTACAATTCTGCACACAGAACTGCAAAACAGATGAGCTATTACTGATATTGATCATGGCATCTTATCAGTACCACTGATGAATGCAAAAAAAGTGAAACTAAAAACAAATGAATGTCAGTGAACCCTTTGAGGAGACGAAAACTTTGTTAGCAGACGCTAGTGTACGGTTGTTTAATGTCCAACCTCCTCAAAGGGTTGGGATGCAAATCATAAGACAACTGCTGAAGCACAGAATTAGACTTCTATGTAGAGTTTTTGGGATCACACAAACACAAGCTTGCTTTGCAGATTACATGCTGTGTGTGAAAAAAAAAAAACATGTGGGACTATGGTGTGGCAAATTAATCAACGATACCAGCAAGCGGAAATACCTGTGTGAAGAACCTGCACGACCTCTCTCTCTTCTGAAGCTGCAAAATCAAACAATTCAGCTGTTAGCGATATAACACCTCTCAGTCATGCATACATATACACACGCTGGCGCACACAGGCAGACACACCCACTTCATTAACATTGCACAAAGCCACACATTTGTTGGCTGAAATATATTCATTATTCTCCACACTCACCAACTTTCGCTCATCACTTCTCCAGTAACTGTCACTGTCACTCCATTCCTGTTTCTACTCATTCTTTGCATCTGCCATCAAGTGATGGCATTAATTACTATGCTACTCGTGTCATATTTGATTTCCTAACAAAAAATTGCATAATGAGCCAGCGTATTACTCACATAGGTATATATAACTGAGTCATTATTGAAATCAGGAGAAAAATTTTTCCTCTTCAAAAGAAGACTTATCATACAAACTCAACCTTTACCAAGCCATTTGCTCAATAACAAAACACTGATTAATTTATTCGACTTACACACGCTCCAGTATATACACCGATCAGCCATAACATTATGACCACCTGTGCTGTGTGCACAGATGTCAGTGCGGCAGGTCGTTGTTAATCGTGTCACTCTGCAGCTCACTGTGCATCTTCTGCAAATCCGTTTGCTTCCATAGTTCTACTGTCATGAATGTGTGGACCATTCAGTGAAAAGCTTATGTAACAAAACTAAATGGAATCTTCTGAAATGGATGAATGAAATTTAAAAGTTGAATCTACAGTAGATCAACCTCATCATCAGTGAGCCTTGGGCGTCCATGGCCCTGTTGTCGGTTCACTGTTTATCCTTCCTTAGACACTGATGGTAGGTACTGACCACTGCAGACCAGGAACACCCAACACGACCTGCAGCATTGAGCCAGTTGTCAGCCATCACAGTTTGACCCTTGTAAAAGTCACTCAGATCTCTACACTTGCCCATTTTTCCTGCTTCCAACATGTCAACTTCAAGGACCAAATGTTCACTTGCTGCCTAACATACCCCACACACTGACAGGTGCCACTGTAATGAAATAATCAATGGTATTCACGTCACCTGTCAGTGGTCATAATGTTTTGGCTGATTGGTGTATTAACTTCACATGTGTAACTGAATTACTCAGTGGGAGAAGGAGAGATGTAAAGAATGTGGTGTCGAGTCCAAAAAGACAGACGGAGGAGGGCAAAACAGCTGAAGTAGTGACTCTGAAGCTAAAGATGAATAAAAACCTGTGACTGGATAAGAGGTGGCAGTAGCCGTCAATCTGGCTGCTAAACCCCACCTATTACTGTTGACCTCAGAAGAGACAATCAAGAAACAGTTCGCCATCCATTCGGTCTGTCAATTAG